GGTCTGGGTGTGCTCCTAGGAAGAGTCCCCTCCATAGTGTTCAAGAAAAGAGGCAACTGTCTTGAGATCCCAAAACCTCCAAGGGCAGAGGCTGTCTGTTCAGCCATACCCACCTTCCTCTCGTGAATGTCTTTCTCTGGCTGTATTTCAAGCTTGTGCTGGGTCTTAGGGGAAAGGATTGGGAGAGAGAGAGCCCCTTTCACCGGGGAGTTGAATGAGATGTTACAGAGGAAACCAAATACCCATCTGGATCCTGGACCTGATGAGGTGGGTTGGGTGCTTGGGATAAAGAGTGGGCCACATCTGCCTTGGGGTGTCAGGGAAGGCCCCCAAGGAGGTGACTTTTGAGCTGTGGTTGGAGGAAGTGGAGTTGTTGGCTTATTTCAGCTTCCTGCATCTCGTTATCGGCATGGGTGGACAGTTGAACCTGTCTTTATATCTGCAGGGCACATCTTATCCAAAGTCAGTAGGAGGTGTTCTTTGCGTTTTTCTTGGAATGAGGCAGCGTTCACCCTGAGTCATCTCTCTGTGTGTCTCTCTCATCCCCTTTGTGACCGTAGGTTTGACTTGTGCGACAGCTGGTGGGCAGGGTTCTGGTTGTGGCTGGGGCACAGTGCTTTCTTTGTCTGAGTCTGCTTGGCCCTTATATAAGTATGAACCACAACTTTGGCCCTGTGCGCTCCGTGCTTTCACCACCTGGACTATGTGTTCCAGATGGCGTTAATTCGGGAGGATGTTTTGGTACTTATTGCGGGTGGAAGATTTGGGCTGCATTTGTCTTTTATTTCCCCATTCTCTTAAGCATCGTGAGCTATGGACAATGCTGTGCAGGGACAGGCATTAGCAATTCTTGCTGCTACAACCCTTTCACCCCGAAGGATACTTCACATCTCCGTCTACCATCTAATCTCATCTTTTCCTTTGCTAGCCCCACCTCCTCCCAGAGAAAGGCAGGTTATTTTCAAAAGCATGATTTTCTTTCTCTTTCTTTTTTCTTTTTGCCATGACAAGTATTAAAACTTTCCATCGAGCTCCTTGGCTGAGGTTAAATGCCTTTTCTCTGGGTAGGCCTCTCTTGGGTTTTGGCGAGAATGCGTCAGGGGCTAGTGCCCTGGGAGAGAAGCTCTGAGCTCTGACTGGGGGTTTGTTATGATTGGATTGCATGTTGGGTGGGTCAGACAGTTGCCTCCTTTCTTGAACACTCCTGTGGCCTCACCTCCACCTGAGACATTGTGTTCCCTGCCCTCAGAACTAAAAATACCCCTGCATGAGCTTTTTGAGAAGGCTGGGGCCTGGTGTGGGGGCAGGGGGTGGGTGCTGTTGCTAGCCACGGAGCAGAGTTTCCACTGTACCTCTGGCTGGGAGAACCCACATCATTAGCACCAGGCCTGACCAGCTGAGCTCATTGGCCACTGGGCTGAAAAGCATGGTCCTGTGGCACTGACTGAGATGAGTAAACTAACCTCTGGAAGGCTGTGGTGAACAGGCGCTCCCTTCCAGCATATTATCGAAACCACATACCTAATAGGAATCTCAGGCACTAATAGTGTTCCTGGCACCAGACTCTTTCGCCTCCATCAATGCATATCTAAGGAGGGATGACATTTGCTTTGTATGCACCCACTGGCCTCTGCTCCCAGGAAAAGCAGGCTAGAATGAGTTGTTTGAACTCTGGGATGGTTTTGTTTTTTCCCTGTTTGGGGAGATGTATATATATATTTTTAAGTAGCAGCCACAATTGATTATGTAGTATGTAATAAATTATGCCGTGCATGAGGATTATTGATTGACTCCTTTTATTTATTTCCCAACAATGTCCCCACTGAGTGGTTTCTGGGCAGATGTACAAAAAGAATTAATACACAGCAAAGTCTGGTACTGTTGCCAACAGGAATCCTCACCAAGGCTTTACACTTTTGCTCTTCCCTACAGAGGTAAGCTAATGAGGGAAACCACTCAGGCACATCCTATTATCACTCGGTGCCCACAGCACAGAACAAGCAAAGTAGAAGAGAAGTAGAGATGGTGTGAGCAGGGGCATTGTCAGCCAGCTCTTCCTGTGGCCGGGTCCTGACTCCCTATGAAGAAGATTCGAAGAATATAGGTTTGCAAAAGAAAAGAGGGCAGATGTTCTCAGAGGTGCTAATTTCAGCCTGGAAAAGTGCCAGCTCAATTGGTTAGTCTTCCTGAAGACTTCCCTGGGGTGTTGGGCAGCTGGTTCTATCACAGATGTCGGCTTTTATAGGTTGGTGCCTATGTCCTATCAGTTGTGAACTATTTGAGATTTCTCCCAACACAGGCACAGTTGTAAGAGACCCCTGTAAGTGGAAAACAGGCAGAAGATGGTGAGATGTGAAATGATTCCCATCTATTCCATCTGCATTGGCAAAGAAGCCTTTGTTTATAAGGGGTTAAATGGTACAACAAGAGACTTTGGAAAACAGCAGGTTTTCACATTAGTGGACTAAAAAGCCCCAAATTTTGGTGCTAATTTCTTAGTCATAACTACCAGGTTAAATCCCAAGACTCGGGGAAGCATATCTATCTACCCACGTACCCATCTATCCACCCACCCATCCGCCCATCCCTGATGCTGCTTGCACTGCTAGGCAATGCCGCTCTTCCATTCCTAGCCTACTCTCTGTACTGCTTCTTCCAGTTCTTGGCACATGTGTGGGAGGGACAGTGGTTGGAGGAAATGTGCCCTAAGGGCTGCATTGGCCATGGGGACTGTCCGGCCCTCATGCCAGTCAGAAAACAAGGCTTGGAAGGCTAATCATGCTATATCAGGATTTTAGTGGCACTTGGGGGATGGAATTTCAATTGCATTTTTATAGACAAAGTATGAAAATCAGTATCTTAGTGGGGTTCAAATTTATACAATGATTTTTTAAATAGGTGATTCTTTTTTCGTTATTCTCATCTTTTCCTTTTTATCACCTGTCCGCTGTGAATGTTTGTATAGAGTTGCCTTTAGCCATTGGGGAGAATGAGTGGATGCTATGTGGGTTAGTAGATGACGTGAGGTTACTGTGAGCTTTCTTAGATGTGATGTCTAAGAGCGTTCGGTATTAAGTGTTGTCTGTCTGTACTGTGTGGCAGGGGGAAGATGGTGGGGGATGCGAATGTGGGACAAACTCATCTGCCTCCAAGGTGGCTTTTGTGAGCACGGTTCAATTCATCAATCTCTCAAGCAGATGGGGTTTGCACAGCACTGTTAAGTATTTCCTGAAGGTTCACTCAGCTTTTTCCAAGTCGAAGCAGCTTAAGTCTGTGGTTAATTTCCTAAATGAATCCCAGCAAGCAGGCTTTTTCCAAATGGATCAAATAGCACTTAATAAATTGTAGCCGTGTGTGTGTACATGTATGTAACCACGCATGCATGGAGACGAATTCTAAGTGGTAAGTGCTGTAGGTCGTGTTGAAAAAGAACATTATATTTTTTTTTTTACATTTGTTAAAACTGCTTCTTAAGATGGTCTTTGGCAACCTTGTTCCTTCTAACTGGGCTCTGCCCAGAGGTGAGCGTGGGGAAAGTTGGAAGCAAATTTCTGTGGCTGTTTTCTGTGGGTAGTAGAATGGAAAAATAGTAAAAATGAGCTGCAGATTTCTCTGATTTTCTTGGAACTTAAAAGTGGCTGACCTAGCCTCGCATTTAAAATGTTCTCTCTCGGGCTGGAGGATAGGTTTGGGAAAGAATTGTACTTCGGCGATATTTCAGAAGCGTTAGCATGTGAGGGTGGCAGTTACAGGTTACACTCCACATCTGTCTTTCCTGGAAAGAAGTCTCTCTGTTTTCACAGGCAGTCCCCACTTTTCAACTTGGTGTCTTCCTGGAAACCGTCTTTTTAACACGCATCCCCCAAAGACTCATCATATTTCCCTATAGGAATAACAGTTAGTGTTTGTGGAGTCTTAACTATGTGCACAGACACTGTTGTAAGTATTGTACTCACATTAACTACTGAATCCTCACAACAGCCTCATGAAGTAGATACTGTCATCATCTCAATTTTATGTACGAAAAAAACCGAGGCACAGAGAGATTACATAACTTGCCTAGGGTCCCACAGCTAGTTAATGGGGACATCAGGACTTATTTAGGCAGTTGGACTTCAAAGCTTGAGTAATTAAATCATTATATGTCTCTCAAACAACATTGAAACATTATTGTGGTTTTTAAGTAAGGATTTACCAGCCAGATATGACCAAGAGTATATCACAGAAGCAAAGACACGTTAATTTATCTTGTGGTTATTCAATGTCGATAACTATAAATCTTGATAATTAAATAGAAAAATATTCTCTGATTCTCCTAAAATGGGAATAAATGTATCAATCCACTTGATTATGCAAAGGCCTCAATATCACATAAAGCAGGTAAGATATACTTTTTCTGTGACATAAATTTGTCTGTAAATAATATGCTAATAAAATAAAAATGTAATTAGATATTTAATCTTAAATCTCTAGTTTAGACTTTAGAAAGCCTTTTGTGGTTTGGATGGCCCAGTTTTCTCAATAAGACTGTAGAAATGTTTATCGATACTTTCTTTCACTTCCACTTTTGCAGGATAACGTATGCAATGGGTAGTGTTCCAGGGTGGCAAGTGTTTCCGGCTGTCTTCTGGCTTCCATAGTGTCTGTTGAAACGTCATCTAAATATCTTGTTGTTCTGGGATCTGGTGGTCTGAGTGGCTTTGGCTGAAGGCAGGAAAGTGGCTCCTTGCTTCTGAGTGGATCTGGTGGAGTTCTGGGGGCCTGGGGATAGTCAATCCTTGTTCTGGGGTTAATGTGAAAGGTTCCTCTGAATCCTGTTTGTCTGTATTGCATTAAACCCCAGGGCAGTGAGAACAGCTTGGTTAATGGGTCACTATGCATTATCCTCTTATATGTAGAACCTTCAGTAGCAATGCCCATGAGCTCACCCTTCTCTCTTTTCCTCCCCTGCCCCCCGCCTCCCTCTGTGTCTCTCTCACTGGGTCCCTCCCTGTCTGCAGCACAGACCCTGGATCCTCACAGCCTATGGAATGTGGGCCTGCTGGTGTGTGCTGGGGGCCCCAGGTGTGGCCATGGTTTTTCTCCACACCATCATCTCCTTCTGTGTAGCCCAGTTCCGGTCACTGCTCCTATCGTGGCTCTGTTCTCTCCTCCTGCTCTCCACACTGAGGCTACAAGACATGGAGGAAGTTAAGGTAAGTGTCTCTGTCTTACCACTGGGAAGGTGCCCCCATCCTGGTAGATGCCTTGGTTTTTCAGACAAGAGTCAATTGAAGAACCATGGTGGGGCTCCTCCTAGTGGTCATATGGGGTTGATGCATGTGAACCTGGGTGTTGCTTTCTGCCGTCTTGTCTTTTGTGTCTTACTATGACTTAGCCCTCTGAAGTTGCCCAGGGTTGACCCTGTACCTTTTTTCCTAGTTTGGGTAGACATGGATGGTACCAGATGTCATAGGAACAGAGGGTTGAAAACAAAGGGAAAAGAAGGCAAGAGTCCCCTATGCGTTTAATAAAAGTCGTCTGTAGAGTACTCTACCATTTATAGGGAACTCTCACATTCCTTATCGTGATAGCTCCTGGGACAGGTAATCATGTTGGGGGGGCCTGTAGCTGATTATTGAATCAAGGATATGCAGGTTATAACCTGCTGAATGAGGAGGCACAAGCCACCCCCATGGTGTCAGCAGGTAGCTCCCTCAGCATCTGAGCTCCCCTCACCTTGGGGAAGTGAAAACCCCGGGGTCATTTTGATTGAAGGCGCAGTTTCAATACATTCACACAAAGAGAGTAAAGTCACGAGATTTATTACTCACAGATTCCAGAAATGGGGGGGGTGGGCACACATGATAAGCCAGGGGAAGGGCAGTCCTCGGTCCCAGTCACCAGCGAGCTGGAGATAGAGAGCATGTAGCAGGCACCTATTCCTTATAAGTTGGTTGGGATGGAGGCCACTAGCTCTTTGCAGGCTTGACTCTAAGTGGTTATTTTAAAAGGTGCCCTGGGAAGAGCGAGGCAGGAACTTGGGGCGGGAATCCTAAGCTCAGGTTCTTATCTAACTGTCCAGACGCTGGGTGTGAGCAGGGTTGTCATACTGTAAGATGCCTGGGCAGCAACTCAAAGTAGCTATTTTCTCATCACAGTAAGGCAAGCATTTTACTTCTTAGTTGATGAAACAGATGCATTTAGTCTTTATTCATGTACCCCACTGGAAGCTCTATGAATTTAGAAGCTTAAAAGAATGTGTTTTGTCCCTTTTGACCAAGGCTTCGTTTTTGCAAACCCAAAGGCATCCTGACAGACACAGCTACAATTGTTTGTGCTAATGGAGGAGGATGTTGGGCCCAAACCCCACTTCTGTATGACACATGTTTGCATTAGTGAATTTTTCTTATACAGGCGTTTACCTTCTTAGCTTTATTTTTTTCTTAGTCACAATAATAGAGCATTTGTATTTTGTGAGCAGACACCAGATTTGGCCCAGGGGATGCTGAATGACAGAGAGTTTAGGATGTCCTGAATTTAGGTGTTTGATGTGCGTGGCTGAGCTGATGGACCCATCCATGAACCCTTCCTGCACCGAGTTTTCTGGTTCCTGTTGTGTGTTCTCGGATCATCTCCTGGGCCGTTCCCAGCATCCCCTGGACAGCTCCCAGCCACCTGGTTCTGACTTTGGTAACTTTGATGACTCAGCCCTGCTTGTGCAAGCCAAGCTTGAGTCTGGGTGGGACCACTCGGGCTGTCTGTGTAGCTTTCCTCTCTTCCTGACCTGTTGAATGTACCCTTTACATTTTTAGGTTGGAGAGTCAGGCTTGTCATCAAAGACAGGCGACAGGGAAGCCACCAGACCTGTCACTGCAGGAAAGGGGAGTGTTAGTCTGCGTGGAGCTCTCAACCATTCAGACGTGGGAGCTTTCCTCTGAGGGGGAAATGCACAGCAAGAGGAATGCAAGTTCAGGGCCCAGCTTCAGGGTCTGTGGTCCTGGACTCCTGGTGTTAGAGCCCTTCAGCCTCCTGGTCAGTCAACTTGGAAACAGCCAGCCCAAGAGACCCACAGCTCTGAAAACATCAGGGGCCATGTGCCCAGGGCAGGACCACTGCTGCTGTCCATCTTCATCCCCTTCTCCCATAGCTGCTTCTCAGACACTGCCTGAGTCGGATCGGAGTTGTTGTTTGAGTCAGGCTAATCTACTTACCTTTCCAATTAAACATTTTTATACAAACCAACCTCCCCCTGAGCCCCACCACCCGATTCTCTTGTCTCCTTCAAAGTCCACTTAGACCGCGGTCTCTAAAGCCGTTCCTATCTCTATATAAAAGCCCTCTCTGACTCCCAGTTTCATTGGCTTCCTTTTTCGCGAGTTCTCAGATGAAATCAGTGAATAGTTATTGACCACTTCATTGGTGCTGGGCTCCGTGCTAGCTGAGCATTTTTCCTGTTGATATAATGTGACACGGCTGTGTACTTGGCATGATTTAGAAATCCGTGCGTCTGGTCTCGCAGACTAGAGGGTAAGGGCAGTGTTTCCATGCCCCCGAGCTCAGGGCTCCATCCAGGCAGATGCTGCTGACAGAGTGACTGTGTCTGCGGGGATTGTAAGGGGTTAGAGGAAGGGATAGGCGTGTGCCTGTCTCACAGAGCTCCCTGTGGTGCCTGTCACTTAGGTGCTGCTGCTCCTGTCTCCCAGTTTGTAAGAGCCAGCAATCTCTGAATGGTATGTGATGCCAACTGATCTGTATCTCTGGAGCCCTGTTTTATTTCTTATCTTTACCCCACAAACATTCCTTGCACAGAAAATCTTGGGAAGTTTTTGCCATCCTTTATTCAATCATAGTGGAAGTGGAACTCCTGTGATGCTGTCATTTTTGTCCATTTGTTGATTCATTCATTCACTCATTCATTGATTCAAGGGACTGCACTTGGATCTGGTGTGCCCTGCATTGGCACAGTGATGGGAAAGAGGATGACGGGAAAGATGAGCCAGCAGAAACCTGGTTTCTAAGTTTTTTCGTTGTGTTTCCAACTCTTGAAACCAGAGGTATCATTTCACCTCTGAGCCTCAATTTCATCATTTGGAAAATGGAAGTAATAGCTGCTCTGCCTTCCTCATGGGGTTGTTCTGAGGGGCTGACAAGATAATATATGTTAAGCGATTTTGTAAAAATTGTAGTATTTTGAAAATTCAAGTATTTTTTATGTTGTTAGCCTACCTGAGTTCTTCTTCACTCACCAATGGACTGTGGCTGATACTTTAAGCAGATCTGTCAAAATCTGGTCTGATGAGAGTAAATAAGGTCGCAGCTCTGTCTTAACAAAAGATACGTAACTTCCCAGAATGATTAACTAGGTGATCATTGAAATAATTGTTCTTAAACATAGATTTGTAATAAAAATAAAAACGAATTCACAGGTAAGTTTTTGGGGACCTGGCAAATGTGCCAAGCAGACTCCATTTATATTTATCATTTGTTTGGGGACAGTTAGCCTCAGTTATAGATGTTGGTGGTGAATAAATATTCCATTTATTATGCAGACTGGAGGTTTGAAAAATATTGCTGGAGGGGAGTAAATGAGCAGAAACTAGTTGATTTGGGTTTTCATGTTTTTGCACATGAATTTCTCTTGATCTTTCTTGATGGTTCTGAAGTCCTAGACAAGGAGTGGAAACTCTTCCGTGCTTAGTTTCTCTGTGTAACGCCTTAAAAGACTCTCATGGATCAAGTTAACTTCTCCTTCCTTTGTCCCAATTCTATATCTTGAATATATTCCATAAATTGTTTTTCTTGTTAAAAAAGCAATACATATGGATTATAGAAACTATGGAAAATATAGAAAAATATAAAGATTATAAAATGATCTGTAATTTTACTCCCTCCATATGGCTAAGATTTTACCATATTTGCTTCTAGTCTTTTGTTCCAAACATCTTTTTGTACATGCTTATTTCTTATTTCATGCAGCATTGTAATTACATTTTTACAAACCTATATCTTGTATGAGAATTTATCCACATGGAGGGCAGGGAGTGTTTCTTTTAACTATGTGTCACTAAAGCTTATTTGGCAAATAGTACCCAACTACAGGTGGAGTCAAATTCATACCAGAGGAGCAAAGGAAAAAATGTGTTGACGACAGAAATCCCATGTGATGTTTATAAGCCTCTGTTTGTCTTGGGAATTGTTGAAGGAGCTGTCAAAGTATCCACTGAAAGTAGCTAATCTTCTTGTTATCCACTACTGTATCTGACAGATGCGTATCCAGGAAAACCTTCGTTATGTTGCATCAGGGCTAGTGCTAAGTTGATGGTTGATATCAGAGACAATCTTTTCCCCTCTGCTCATTAACTGCTTGTTTTGATTACCAATGAGATTTACCTGTCCAGTGGTTCTTGGCTCCCTCTATGGTACAGCTGCTCTACCTTTGGGAGAGATCGCCTTCCCAGGAGACTGGGTGGTGTCCCTCCTTGCCACTCACGGGTCGTTCTCTCCTTGTGACTTTGCAGAGAGGGTGGTACCAGACAGAAAACGAGTACTACTTGCTGCAGTTCACGCTGACCGTTCGCTGCCTGTACTACACCAGCTTCAGCCTCGAGTTCTGCTGGCGGCAGCTGCCCGCTGAGCACACCTCCTACTCCTTTCCCTGGATGGTGGCCTATGTCTTCTATTACCCCGTCTTCCACAACGGGCCCATCCTCAGCTTCCCGGAGTTCATCAGACAGGTAGAGGCCATTGGGGATTAAACTGGTATTCTGTAGATTAAGCTTCTGTCCTTGTTGCCGTGGTCACCCATGTGAGTCCTGAGTCTTTTCATTCAAGGGTGCGCATAAATTTAAAATGCATATTATTGTCTTGATAATTTTTTTACGTAAGTCAAATGCTTCGGGGAAATAAACTTCAAAATATAGGTTGACCTGGAACTTGTGCATCTTAGCTCCAGGAGCCCCCGCCCTGATTCTCGGTGGACTGTGGCTACCAGGATTAATAGCTGGGCACAGTGAGGAACCTCGAATTGGTTATCCACTGCTGGGCAGTCCCAGGGAAAGGAAAAATTGGATTCTCATGGTATTACTTGGAAAGTAGAAAGAGAAACTGTCTAAGCTGTTGGTTGGTAAGTTGTATGTTCTCTTTTTTTTCACGAAATGCTTATCAAGTGACTCTGCTGTAGCCTGCTAATTGTTCAGGGTGACCTAGATGAGAAAACCGAATGGAGTGGAAGAGAGTTTGAAGGCAATAGTCTGTTTTCGGGTCTGGGTGCCTGTTTCTGCCCAGGAACCTGCCTGCCTTCTTTGGACAGCAGCCTTTTCTGAAGCTCATGTCAAGCTACCTTCATCATTCCCACCTTACTTTTCCTCCTATTTAGAGTTTTATTCTTCTAGTTGCACAGTTAGCCTCATGGAACATATTTATGAAATTAATTCACCTAAGGTATTAGTAATTGATAATACCTAAAACGGTGTTTCTCAAGGGTCATTCAATACTCCTCCAAACAAAACAATCCTGATGGAGGTGAGAATAATAACAGGAATGCACACACAGTGTGCACACGTACACTCAGCACACGTACGTACACAAAGAACACACAGCACACACACGTGCAAGTGCACACGCGTGTACACACACACAGAGGTGTGGAAGCGTGGATCAAAGTGCAGGGCCTACAGCCCGTTTCCAGGAGGCAACGTGAAAGGTACCGCCTGGAAAAATAGGGGAGTTCTTAGAAATCCCTTATTCTGTCTTCAAAATTCGACCAAGTCATGCATTGTACTCAAAGGTATATTTCTGCATTATAGCAATAATGTTTTAAAATTGCCAGTTAAATTATTTAACTTTTTTCCCTTCACAAATATTTAAATGAAATTGATATGCTGGGCAGATAGATATTTGGCATATGGTTTCTCATACCTTAGTTTGGGTTACATAGAATCATTCTTTTGTCATGAAGTTGTTTAAACATCTATGTTTGACAATTACGTTTAAAATTATTGTGTGAAAGACAGAGGTAGTTAGTATTGGTAGCTGATCTAACTCAGTCATTCTCAAAGTGTGGTCCCTGCACTAGCAGCATGGGCGTCACCAAGGAAAGAGTCAGAAATGCACATTCTCAGGCTCTGCCTAGGACCTACTGGATCAGACACTTGGAGTGTGGGGCCCAGGAATAGTGTTTAACAGGCCATCTGGGTGATTGTGATGAACGCTGGACTGAGAGCCACTATCCTAAGTTCCTCAGAAGAGTAGGGGTTGGGGGTGGGATGGGGGGCATCGGGTGGGGTAGGCACAGTGTAGGGTGGGTTCAGGCCCTCCAAGTTTTGTCTCTTTTACAATCTCCTTACCATTGTGAGTTTTCAATTCTTTCAACATTCCAGCTAATAACGTTTGGACTAAACATCCACACACAGCCACCGTCCCCTCTCTTGAAGACAGATAGTAATTCTCAGAGAAACATAGACTAAATCCATTAAGAGGAAACAAGCTATTTTCATAACTGCCTCTTATCCTTCGGGAGCTTTGTGCTATGGCATCTGCACTTTGTTATCATGCAAGTCATCATTCTTTTTATTTCTCACGTCTCCTCCTTTTAAACTGTGCCCGGTGGGCTCTATCGGGAACGTTAGGGGCCCAGGGCAGGGTCCTGTGTCTGTTACAGGGAGGCAAGCTTTGAGATTATTGTTCACCTGAATTCTCAGCCAAGGGGTCTCATTCTCTTAAGCTCCAGTCTCGGGAAGAAAAGGGCTGATTTATTCCTATAGGGGCTCAGGTATGGAGACTCTGGGTTGCAACTACATCTTAGCCTTCTGTTTTTCACCCCTTTCACAATGATAGCAATCGCTGAAAGCAGGCAACTCAGAAAGGCAAATTGAAACCTTTCTCTATGCTATGGGAAGATTCATAGAAAAGTCAGTCTAGAAAGGGCAAAATGTTTCGTAAGCTACAGGGCAGATAAAAACAGCCAGGAGATTTCTGCAGTTGCTGATGGTGCCTATGGGGCCCATATCCCCATGAGAAAAATGGCCCTGAATGGGGAGCAGTGAAATCAGAAAGCTAATCGAGTAGTGAAAAGATTCTTTCAGAGAGGCCAAGAAAGGCAAGGATGGGAGAGGGAGGAAGAAAGCTAACTAGAAGAGCTTGTAAGCAAGATTTTCTCTGAACAAGTGCTTGAGTGAATGAATAAATGTTATATGAAATGGTATTATTGAAATTCCTGGTTCTTAGATTCTCAAGTCAATGCTCAAACTACGCAGAGCAGGAGAATGGGGCTGTGCCACCAGGGGGCAGCAGAGCCTCGTCGTGGAAACCAACCCAACAGGGCAAACTCTGATAAGATGACAGTATTAGGCACGCGCCTGGGAAAATGTATCTTTCACCTAATTTTTTTAGCATGTAAATTTACACACACAAGGTGAGGGACGTGTAGACAGAAGAGATGTTCTCTGTAATATAAGGCATGGAAATTTGCACACGTCAGTCATGAACAGGTAAAAGTTTACCTGTTAAAAGGCCTCAGTGCCTTAACTTGACGGCCATCTCTGATGGCATTTGGAGTTTCGGAAATCTAGACCCCGTTTATTTTTCTCCCATGTTTCTGTGGAACTCAGATCTTGAGCCGGGGCGAGGCAGGGGGACTGAGTTCTAGGGAAAGGCAGGACATAGTGTTTATTTGCTCAGGTTGGAGCCTGGGCCCACCACGTCTTCCTCTGAACAGGTTGAATTGTGCAGGGAGGGCTGGCGTGGGAGGGTGGGGAGGCTGAGTGTGGTAGGACCAGGGGGCTTTTCCTTCCTGAGGGCTGTGCCCCTATCCCGAGGGGAAGTGCCAGTGCTCGAATAGGGAACTTGCATGGTGGTGATGAGCAAGGACTCTGGAGGCCAACCCTGTCGTTAAAAGAATTTGAATTCCTGCTGTGCTTTGGCTTGAGAGCACTTAGTGAGTTACTTATCTTATTTGTGACTCAGTTTCCTTGCCAGTGAATCATAGTACCCTCCTCAGAGGATTGTTAAACAGATTAAATGATTTTACGTAGGTAATGTGGCTTGACACATAAACACTATGAAGTGTTAACTATTACTATTACTGTTGTTATTGTTAGCCAAAAAGCGTGTGGCAATTCTGGGGTAAGTTGGAGGAGGTTGTTGAGAGGATATGACCACCAGTTGACCCATGAGCTGGACCTGGGCAATTGGAGGCTCTGTACTCCCCCCGCCACCTGACCTTGGAAAGTACGTGTTGCCCACGTCCAGCATTCCCACACTAGAGCTGTTTCAAGGATGCAGCCTTGAGAGAGTAAGGTGTTGTTGAGACCATCTGGACTGAATAAGTGACCAAACCCAGTTAAGGCCTCTATATAAACTTTTAAGATTCTGGCAGGTGGGTGCAGAGACCTACTCATCTTGTAGCTGCTAAGACAAGCCTCGTATGTAGCTTCCCTTGCTTATTAAAACTGCTACCTACCAATCTGGAGTGGTCTGGCTCTTTCTTCGGTCTCTCCTTGCTCTCTGTTTATGCCAGGCTGTTTCAGATTTCACCAAGAAAGCTCCAGAGGATGTGAACTAATATAAGTTTAGGCCAGAGCTGAGACCCTGGGTGTCCAGTCTGGTAGGTGGGCAGAGGAGCAGGGGATTCTGAGCAGGGGATTCTGGGCAGTGGCCATCCTTGGCCTCAGAAGAGACCGGTGTGCTGGTTTCATCTCTTTGGAAGAGAGACCCAAGCAGTTGCTGCAGGTCCAGGGGTGGGCCCAGCCCCTGAGTGGCTGGGGCTGGCAAGAGCTGGGCAGGCAGGCAGTGTCCCAGATCAACCGTTCAGGGTTTGAGCTAGGCTCTGGTTCTAGAAGGCACCTGGAATTATACTAATCGTAACAAATAATACTGACTGAGCACTTACTCTGAACTAGGCTTTATGTGTTCTAACTCATTTCATCCTCACAACAACCTTGGAGAGAGAAACTGTGGTTACCACCACTTTACAGATGGTAATATGGAGGCAAAGAGAGGCTAATAGGATACAGATTGGGGTGGAAGGAATAAAGACTTGAGCCTTGTCGCACTGACTTGGTGAACCCCACGGGAGGTAGAGAGAAGATGCGGTGTGGTCTGGTGGACATGCGGGTCTGGAGGCTCAAGCTGGCCAGACCAGGTCCCAGTCCTGTGCCAGCAGCATCAACTGCAGGTCCCAGTGGCTGTTCTGGCAGAGTCCACTGTCTACCACCGGCCTTGGTCTGGATGCCTGGGGAGGGGGCAGTGAGGGTCTGATTAGGGAATGATCTTTGGCAGGAGGGGTGTGGTCTGTGACCACAGGCTGGAGCGAAGCTCCCCCACCACAAAGGAGTAGGACTCCGGCTACGATGCCCTTGACCTGCGCACGGAGGTTGGAGCAGAGATGGCAGAGTTGAACAGTTGGCTCCGGGGAAGGCTTTTATTGGGTGCTCTCAAACATAGGTATTATTAGTGTGTGAAGGAAAAGAAACTTTCATCTTTGAGAACTGTCATCTTTAATCATCAGAGTATCTTTGAAAGCCTTCGCTATTCCTTTTTATGCAATTTGCATGAAATGAGGTTTTAAAATATAATGTTTTAAAATGCACTTTGCAGATGAGTTAATGCGTATTTTTTAGTGGAGCCTTAACTAAAAATTCCCATTGATGGCGGTTTCCAATGGTCTTCAGGTTGGCACTCCCCTAGGTTTGGAAGATCTCAAATGAAATGCTTTGCATGTGGATGAGAGAGCATCCTTGCTCATTAGGTGAGCAGTGTACAGCTTGTCTTTTCTTCCTGCTGGATCGACAAGGGACAAATGCTGAATTTTTTAAATAAAAGAGAGTCAACCAAATTGAAGGTATAAATGGACTGTAATAATGACTCAACTCTAAAGAAAGATGAATAACCGTTTTTTAAAGTAAAAGCAAATAGAATGAAAAATTGGATTGGTTTCCTTATGCTGTGTTTACTTGTACTGTTAAGGAATAGACATTTCTGTTACTCTGAATAAGGAGGCAGCCAGCATCAAAAAGGGAGCATTGCAGAGAAAAGTGCAGCCCTTCTGGTCCAGGGGTGGCGCATAATTATGCCTTACTCAACCTGGTAGGGAAGTTTTGCCCCGAGGAGAGTAGGTGGGTCATTACTGGGAAGCCAATCAGCCACAAAATGGCACCCCCTGTTTCTTCTTAATCACAGATATTTGTGTTGTTTTAGACTGCACATTGTTTGGGGAAGGAAGGGAGGGCCTCTGAACTGACCTTAAAATGTGATTGCCTGGAGCTCATAGGTGATTGGGTAGATGTATTTTCCTGATTGCCTGGAGGGGCTCCCCTCCCATCCAGCTGCTTCTCTGCTCCCTCGCATGGGGCTGCACACCGAGTGATGCTCTGAGGCCTCAGGGGCAGGTCTGGTCTTCGGGGGACTTGAGCTTGGGGTAGGCTTCTACTTAGGGGCCTACAGACCACGTGCAGAGTTGCTTATGTAGAAACTGGAGGCATTCACTTGTGGGAAGATTGTCTTCTGTCAATGCTGCTTTGGAGTCCATTTCACACATTCAGTCAGGGGACTTGCTTCCCTCTGAGAGTCTGGCACCAAGAAAGGCCTGTCCATTGGTCTGGAATGGTTTTGGTGCCTCTTCATGTCTTAGACTCCTTGATTGCTTTGGTGTGAACTCTTCCAGCCTCCAGAGACTGATGGACACTGTGTTCATAATCATTTCCTCATTTGCTGATTGTCATTAGGTCAAACTGAATTTGCTTTAGAGAGCTGGAAAAGGGTTGAGAATTAGCAAAGAGGAACTCAGTACATAGCTAAGAAAATCAACATATGAGTGTGGTGGGAATGTAAGGAGAAATAAAGAACAGGGCTCGCATGAGAGGGAGAGAAGAACACTTGCCATAGAGGTTGCTGGGCTTCCCGGGGAGATCCTGAAGCTAGGCATGTGTTTAGAAGAAGGGTGAAGAAATAGAAGGCCTTGCCTCACTTGCAGAGAGGACCAAAGTCTTCACAATATTGTAAAGTTGCATTACTTTTTCCCCTGATTAGAAAATAACCAATTGTTAAAAACAACCATCCAAAGATTACACTCACTGTCGCCAATTTGGTGTGTATCTTTCCAGCCTTTCATTATTTATGGACATTGATCAAAAACAGTTTTCATGGCTACGTAATACTGAGGTGCACTCATGCGTTTCACTAATCCCCTACTGGTGGACATTTGGGTTATTTCCTTTTTCTTCTCATTTAAACAACACAGACACGAATGATCGGGCAGGTAGGTGTCTCTGCACTGAGGATTTTGGCTTGTAGCTCCACTGCTGAAGACTCTGTAGGGTCTTGCAGAGCGTGCGTGCTTGAGGTAAAGATTCAAATGAAAACCGCGCTCAGTTTGTGCTCAGAAAGGGGTCTGCATTGGGTTATCTAGTGCAGCTATGATGGCAGTCAGCTGTGATCCATACAAGTCTGTGAATGCTCATATTCCCAGTCTTCCTTCCTGATAACCCTTCCCAGCCAGCACTTCTGTCCAAACTGGCTTGATGAGTCCTTCAAAGCAGTTACTGTTGCTTCATGACAATGGAGGCTGCTGTGGCTGGGCAAATTATCTTCCTGAGGTGAATGGCAGAAAACTAAAGGAAAAAGGAAGTTCCTGTTAGTTTGATCTATTAACATTAAAAAAATTAAACCAGCGAGCTTTCCTTGCCATAGCTAATCAAGCAGATGGCAAAAGGGGAAAGCCATTTGTGCAGATTATTGTAATGCCGCTGAAACAGCCAGAATTTCTTAGCCTGGCTTCTTGCTGTAAGAGGACAGTTTGAGAAAGTGGTACTATGCACAGTCGAAAATGGAGTAAAAATAAATCCCCTGGCATACAGATCTCCCTTCTCCTTTAAGGGCAGTGCCTGTTACTCCTGGCTGCAGTGGGACCCGCTGTGCCTTGATGACAGAGGAAAGTGGAAGATAAGTTCCTCAGGATCACTCTCCCCCTAAGAGTGGGCCATTCTGGTTTATGTAATATATGAGCCCTAATTGTCAAATGCTAAATCAAGTCCATTTCCTCTGCCAGCTCACGTTTGCAGATTCAGCCTCATCATTTACGCATTAGCTTCACCTCTGCATTGCAAGGCAGCCTAATAAAATCTTGTCTGTGCAAGACCCAGAAAACTTACCCACTCCCTCTTGTTTTTCTGTGTTCGTCTAGTGGTGTAAGGCTGAAATTGAATTCACTTCAAATTTTATAGCATGCTCATGCATTTCCGAATCTATGGGTTCTAAACTGTTGTGCATCCCTGAACAATAGGCAACGAGGCGAGACTACAGAACCAGCCTACTGTGGGTGGAACTTTTTATGTTTTTGGTCTGTTTTGTCCACGCGTATTGAGTATACTCTGAGTAGTTTGTCTATATCTATGAATCATCCAAACATCCCTCTCTCACCTTTGGTGTTTGGCTCTGAACCGTCTCCTAATTCTGCCCTGTAGCTGGTAGCCTGGGATGTCACGCGGGAAGAATGTGAGGGTGCAATAGGAGGCATGTAATTATCAGATATTGACTACCGGTTATCCAGTGCTTTTTATATGCCAGGGCTGTACCTGGTACTTCATATACTTTATTATATATATTATCACAACAATCTTTTTCACTTTACGTGTGAGGAAACCAAGTCTCAGAGAGGTTAAGGAACTTGCTCCGGATCACACAGATGTGTGGTTTCTGCTAGAATCTGATCCCAATTCTGTCTGACTCTAAAGTCCGTGTTCTTAACTATTACACTGTGCCGCTTGCTAAGCAAGAGACTTGTCCTGTATGCTGTCCCTGTTTCTGTTTACTCTGCCTTGTTTCAGAAACAATTTAAGGTAAGTTGACACACTCACACAGAGTTTTTCCCTTGTTCTCAGGCTCTGTCTCTCATTCTCCCTTTCTCTTACTGGTCCTGTGCCCCTTCCTGACTTGGCTCTACTTATACCAGCCTGAGATGTGAGTGGGTGATGGATGAAGACAGGCAGGGTGACATCTGAGCCCAAAGTGACCCCAGCGTCCCGAGGGGTGCAGAACCCATCTCAGTCCTTGGCACTAAGCTAGCTTGTTGACTCCATCCTATTCTTACTCTGGGACAGAGTTTTCAAGCTTGGACATGACTTTTTCACCCAAGAACATTGAGTGTTCCCAAGGCAAACTAAACCAACCTGCTTTTAGTAGATTCAGCCATGGTATCGATTGGAAGTTTATTAAAAACATTGTCTAGGGGACTGTTTGAACGATTCAAGACATTAAGGCACAATCTAATGACTTCTTTGTTTCCACTTTAGATGCAGCAGCAAGAGCACTGCTCGCTGAAGGCCAACCTTCCCGTCCTCGTGCTGGGGCTGGGCCGCCTCCTCTGCTCTTGGTGGTTGGCGGAGCTGATGGTCCACCTCATGTACCTGCACGCCATCTACAGCAGCACCCCGCTCCTGGGCGCTGTCTCCTCTTGGACCTTAGGTAATTGTGGAAATGACTGTCAGTACAACAAGCTTCAAGACGTAGCTTCAGAGTGAGGCTGCACTGGGGCCAGAAGGGTGCAGTTGCTTTGAGCAAACCCTCTTTTTTTCAATCCCATTCCCCTTGTGGCCAAGGTGATGCATGTGTGAGGTGGCTGACAGAGGTGAAGGCTGGGCTTTGTAGTCTGGGAACCAAAGATGGTGGCAATCCCATTTCATAACGGAATCCTACAAAGCTTAGCTGGGTCTGCATCTTTCTGGGGTGGCCAGCACTGCCCTGGACAGGAAAGGGCAAGAGATGCTAGGGGCAGCCTTTGAGTCCCTGCTAAGCGGCAATGCTCCAAGACTGAGTTCTGCAGTTTTCCTTGTTGTTCTTGTATACAATATAAACAACAGAAAATCAAGATGAGCTTTAAAGTCAGACAGACGTAGGTTTGAATCTGAGTGCCACCAACCACTGGTGGGCAACCTTTGGCAGCTGGATAAAACTCTGCATCTTCATCTGTAAAAGGAGCAGACTTTGCAGGGTTATTTTGAGGATTCATTGAAACCATGAAGGTGAAGGGCTTACCTCATTAAGAATCTGGTAGGTAGAATAAGTGGTATGTGTGTGTGTATGTCCCTCTGTTGGTCCCTTCTTGTCTACCCATTTCTTTATATCTGCAAGTAGGTGAGGTCGAAGCCATTTCCTCAGCAGGGCACAGCCTGCAGTCTAGGACTTGTCTGTGGAGAAACCATTGTCTTTTTTCATCTGGCCAAAGCAGCAGAGGACAGGCCCCTTTGTGAAGTAAATCTCATTTCTTTGTTGGTGCTCCTTTCAAGAACTCCTGTGGTAGCTGAATTCAGCCCCGTGGTGTGACCTCCAGCCTGTAGCCCCAATGGGCAATGTGTGGTCTCTCGGCCAGATTAAGCTGCTCCTTGCTGAGGGCAGGAGTACAAACCTGTCTCCTGATCTGTGTGGATTTCTAATAGATTTAAAAAATCTTGATTGTCCTTGGTATCACACAGCCTTCATCAGAATGTTTTTAAGGAAGATTCCTTTTAGGATTGAAAAAATGTCGGGCTGTTTTAATGACGGTCTCTTTCCAAACAGATCTTTTTTATAGTTAGGGTAACTAATATTCTGAGGTTTTAACGATGTAGTTAGACAAAATGCAATAGGATTAAATGATGGCTTGTGCTAAATTGAATCCCAGTTGTACTGCATCCAAGTTAAGAGACTGTATCAACTGGGGTGATCTTAACGATGAGTAATGGAAAACACAACTCAAAATGGGGATTAAACAGTAAAGAAAAGCTCTAAGGTCAGCACGAGGGGCGGTAAATCCAGTGACTCAGAAAGTCGTCAGTGACCCATTTGCATATCTACATTCGGATTGAGAACTAACTGGAATCCAAGGAGCCGTCTGTGTGCACCTCCAATCCCATCACCTTCTCTCAGCCTCTGCACAAAGATAACCTGATTTTTGGGTTTATGATTCCCCTTTTTTTTCTTTACATTGACTTCATTTTTAGAGCAGTTTTAGGTTTACAGCAATATTGAGAAGAAGGTACAGAGAATTCCCATATATCCCCTGACCCACACACATGCACGACTTCCCCCGCTATCAACATCCCCACCAGAAGGATACATTTGTTACAATCGATGACTTGACACATCGTTATCACCAAAGTCCGTGGTTTACCTTAGGATGCACACTTAGTGTGGTACAGACTGTGGGTTTTGACAGATGTGTGATGACATGTATCTGACATTATAATATACTTAATAGTTTCACAGCCCTAAAAATCCTCTGTGCTCTGTCTATTCAGGCTTTCCTCCCTGATCTTCTTGCCCTAACGCCTAGCAACCACTGAACGTTTTACTGTCTCCATAGTTTTGCCTTTTGCAGAATGTCTTATAGGTGAAATCATGCAGTGTGCAGCTTTTTCAGATTGACTTCTTTCACTTCATAGCATGCATTTAAAGTTTTTTCATGTCTTTTAATGGCTTGATAGCTCGTTTCTTTTTAGCACTGAATAATATTCCATGGTCTGGATGTACCACACTTTATTTATCCATTCACCCATTGAAGGACATCTTAGTTGGTTCTAAGTTTTGCAACTATGAATAAGAATGCTGCAAACAGTCATGTGCTATTTTTTGTCTGGACATAAGTTCTCACTCGTTTGAGTAAATACCAAGGAGTGCAATTGCTGGATTGTATGGTTAAGAGTATGTTTATTTTTGTAAGAAACTGCCAGGCTGTTTTCCAATGTATCATTTTGTATTCCTACCAGCAGTGAATGAGTTCCTGTTGCTCCCCATCCTTGCTAGTATTTAGTGTTTTCAGTGTCCTGGATTTTGGCCATTCTGATGGGTGTATGGTAGTATCTGGTTGTTGTTTTAATTTGCAGTTCCCTGATGACATATGATGTGGAGCATCTTTTCATATGCTTATCTACCAACTATATATCTTCTTTGGTGAGGTGTCTGTTCAGGTTTTTTCTTCATTTTTAAATTGGATTGTTAATTTTCTTATTGTTCAATTTTAATGGTTCTTTGTATGTTTTGGATAATACTCCTTTATCAGATGTGTCTTTTGGAAATATTTTCTCCCAGTCTGTGGCTTGTCTCCTCATTCTCTTGACAGTGTCTTTCACAGAGTAGAAATTTTCAATTTTAATAAGTCCAGCTTATCAATTATTCCTTTTATGGATTGTGCCTTTGGTCTTGTATCTAAAAGTCATCGCCACATCCAAGGTCATCTAGGTTTTCTCCTGTATTATCTCCCAGGAGTTTTGTAGTTTTGCATTTTACATTTAGATCTATGATCATTTTGAGTTAATTTTCATGAAGAGTGTCAAGCATGTGTCTGGATTCCTTTTTTTGCATGTTGGTATCCACTTGTTGCTGCACCATTTGTTCAAGAGACTATATTTGCTCCATTGTGTTATCTTTGCTACTTTGGCAAAGATCAGTTGACCACATTTATGGGAGTCTGTTTCTGGGCTCTCTATTCTGTTCCATTGACTTTTGGTATATTCTTTTGCCAATATCCACTGTCTTGGTCACTGTAGCTTATAGTAAGTCTTGAAGTCAAATAGTGTCAGTCCTCCAACTTTGTTCTCCTTCAGTATTGTGTTGGCTCTTCTGGATCTTTTGTCTTTCCATATAAACTTTAGAATCAGTTTGTTGACATCCACAAAATAACTTGGTAGGATTTTGCTTTGGGTTGCATTGAATCTATAGATCAATCAGGGAAGAAGTGACGTCTTGACAATATTGAATCTTCCTATCCATGAGCATGGAATATCTCTCCATTTATTTAGTTCCTTGATTTCTTTCATCAGAGTTTTGGAGCTGTTCCTCTTATATACCTTGTACATATTTTGTTAGATATTTACATAAATATTTATTTTTAGGTGCTAAAGTAAATGGTATTGTGTTTTTAATTTCAACTTCCACTTGTTCATTGCTGATATATAGGAAAGTGATTGACTTTTGTATATTAACTTTGTATTTTGCAACCTTGCTACAATTGCTTATTAGTTCCAACAGGTCTTTTTTTGTTGATTCTTTGGGATTTTCTATACAGACAATTATGTCATCTGCAAATAAAAATCATTTCTTCCTTCCCAAAGTGTATACATTTTGTTTCATTTTCTTCTCTTATTGAATTATCTAGGACTTCCAGTATGGTACTGAAAAGGAATGATGAGAAGGAACATCCTTGCCTTTTTTCCTGATCTTAATGGGAAAGCTTCTAGTTTCTCACCATTAAGTATGATGTTAGCTATAGGTTGTTTGTAGCTGCTTTTTGTCCGATTGAGGCAGTTCCCTTGTATTCATAGTTTGGGAGTTTGTTTTTTTTTTAAATCAAGAATGAGTATTGGATTTTGTCAAATTTTTTTTTGCATCTGTGGATATGATCATGCAATTTTTCTTCTTTAGCCCGTTGAAATGATGGATTACATTAATTGATTTTCAGATGTTTAACCAGCCTTACATACTTGGGATAAATCTCACTTGTCATGGTGTACAATTCTTTTTATACTTTGTTGGATTTGATTTGCTAATATATTGTTGAGAATTTTTGCATCTATGTTTATGAGAGATGTTGGTCTGTAGTTTTCTTGCAATGTCCATGTCAGATTTTGGTATTAGGGTAATGCTGGCCTCATAGAATGAGTTAGGAAGTAATCGCTCTGTTTCTCTCTTCTGAAAGAGACTATAGAGTATTGGTATAATTTCTCCCTTAAATTTTTTCAGTTTGGGAAGGTTATTTATTATTGATTCGATTTCTTTAATAGATATGGATCTATTCAGATTGTCTATTTTTTCTTTTGTGAGTTGGCAGGTTGTATCTTTCAAGGAATTGCTCCATTTCATCTAAGTTATCAAATATGTGGGCATAGAGTTGTTCGTAGTGTTCCTTTATTAACCTTTTCATGTTGGTGGGATCTGTAGTGATGTCCCCTCTTTCATTCTGTGGTAGTAATGTATGTCTTCTCTCTTTTTTCTTAGTTAACTTGGCTAGAGATTTATTTATTTTATTGGTCTTTTCAAAGAAACAGCTTTTGGTTTCATTGGTTTTTTGTATTGATTTCCTGTTTTTAATTTTGTTGATTTCTGCTCTAATTTTTATTATTTCTTTTCCTCTGCTTACTTTGGATTTAGTTTGTTCTGCTTTTTCTAGTTTCCTAGGGTGGAAGCTTAGATTATTGATTTTAGCTCTTTCTTCTTTTCTAATATATGCATTCAATGTTACAAATTTCTCTTTAAGCACTGCTTTTGCTGTATGCCATAAATTTTAATAAGCTGTATTTTCATTTTTATTTAGTTCAAAATATATTTTAATTTTCTTGATTTCTTCTTTGAACTGTGTATTATTTAGAAGTGTGTTGTTTAATCTCCAAGTATTTTGAGATTTTTCTAGTTGTCCATCTATTATTAATTTCTAATTTATTCCGTTATGGTTTGAGAGCAGACATTGTATGATTTCTATTCTTTTAAATTTG